TAGTGCGGGCATGCTACTTTCTACCGATAGGGCGGTGGACAGCTATGTCATAAACCCTCAAGTTCTAGAATGGTCTGAGAATGGCAGCCATTTTGGTCAGGGAGAAATCCAAACCAGTCTTAGAGTACCACAGTATGAGTCATAATACCCATAAAACCTTGCGGTCAAACAGGGAAATGGTTCCAATCGTTTTTCCACCATTCATTTTTCCCATAGGGGATTTTGGAAACTTGTTTCGTGTAGGCTTACCCTGGCGTGACCTGCCGTTTTGATAACCGTGTAAATCTCTAGGACAATGTGACTTATCAATATTTCCCTATATTTCACCCCCAAAAATGAAGTGCTAATTAGCTGTTGATGTGGCTATAATAAAGAACTACAAATGCCATGATGATCTGGACGAGACTGCCGAATCGAGGCAAAGGTAAGAATCTCAGGATTAACTATCTAATGTTAGCTAAATGTAGTAATGAATAAATTGGATACATTTCTTTAAATGGACAATTCTGTGAAGTCTTGTGCAAGTTTTAAATTGAGAATACCTGTTAGCAAAGGTGTCAGCCAGAGATGAGGTGCAGGGATTTGTAGTTTTGCATGATCTACTGCTAATTAGCATTTTCGAATCTGAGAGTAACTAGAGCCGAATATATTGATAAAAGTCACCTTGTCCGAGAGTTATCAAAACGTCACACCAGGGTAAGCCTACACGAAACTCAGTCCTTATTTTGTTTCTAAATACCCCTATGGGAAAAATGAATGGTGGAAAAATGATTGGAACCACTTCCCTGTTTGACTGCTAGGTTTTATGGGTATTATGACACCTCCACTGTGGGGCTCTATGGGAATGAATGGCAAAAGAGGCATAGGTGATGCAGCTCCTGCTTTTACTTATGCAGGAAAATAAAAGTAAGGCATGTATGTAATATATATAGTGCATTCGGAAAGTATTCAGACCCCTTGACTTTTTCCACATTTTACGTTACAGCCTTATTCTAAAATTGATTATTTCTCTCATCAATCTACACACAATACCCCATAATGACAAACCAAAAACAGGTTTTTAGAAATGTTTGCTAATGTATAAAAAAACGACATACCTTTATTTACGTAAGTATTCAGACGCTTTGCTATGAGTCTCAAAATTGAGGTCAGGTGCATCCTGTTTGGAACCACCAAGACTCTTCCTAGAGCTGGCCGCCCGGCCAAACTGAGCAATCTGGGGAAAAGGGCCTTGGTCAGGGAGATGACCAAGAACCCGATGGTCACTCTGACAGAGCTTCAGAGTTCCTCTGGAGATGGAGAACCTTCCAGAAGGACAGCCATCTCTGCAGCACTCCACCAATCAGGCCTTTATGGTAGAGTGGCCAGACGGAAGCCACTCCTCAGTAAAAGGCACATGACCGCCCGCTTGGAGTTTGCCAAAAGGCACCTAAAGGACGCAGACCATGAGAAACAAGATTCTCTGGTCTGATGAAACCAAGATTGAACTCTTTGGCCTAAATGCCAAGCGTCATGTCTGGAGGAAACCTGGCACCATCTCTACGGTGAAGCATGGTGGTGGCAGCATCATGCTGTGAGGATGTTTTTCAGCGGCAGGGACTGGGAGACTAGTCAGGATAGAGGGAAAGATTAACAGAGCAAAGTACAGAGATCCTTGATGAAAACCTGCGCCAGAGCGCTCAGGACCTCAGACTGGGGCGAAGGTTCACCTTCCAACAGGACAACGACCTTAAGCACACAGCTAAGACAACGCAGGAGTGGCTTCGGGTCTCTGAATGTTCTTGAGTGGCACAGCCAGAGCCCGGAATTGAACCCGATCAAACATCTCTGGAGAGGCCTGAAAATAGTTGTGCAGCACCGCTCCCCATCCAACCTGATAGAGTTTGAGAGGATCTGCAGAGAAGAATGGGAGAAACTCCCCAAATACAGGTGTGCCAAGCTTGTAGGGTCGTACCCAAGAACTCAATGCTGTAATCGCTGCCAAAGGAGCTTCAACAAAGTACTGAGTAAAGGGTCTGAATACTTATGTAGAATCTTGTTTCTCATGGTCTGAGAGTCCTTTATGTGCCTTTTGGCAAACTCCAAGCGTGCTGTCATGTGCCTTTTTTTTACTGAGGAGTGGCTTCCGTCTGGCCACTCTACCATAAAGGGCTGATTGGTGGAGTGCTGCAGAGATGGTTGTCCTTCCGTCTCCACAGAGGAACTCTGGATTGCTCAGTTTGGCCTAGAGGAAGAGTCTCGGTGGTTCCAAACTTCTTCCATTTTAACAATGATGGAGGCCATTGTAGGTCTTGGGGACCTTCAATGCTGCAGAAAGGTTTTGGTACCCTTCCCCAGATCTGTGCCTCGACACAATCCTGTCTCTGAGCTCTACGGACAATTCCTTCGACTTCATGGCTTGGTTTTTGCTCTGACATGCACTGTCAACTGTGGGACCTTATCTAGACAGTTGTCTTTCCAAATCATGTCCAATCAATTGAATTTACCACAGGTTGACTCCAATCAAGTTGTAGAAACATCTCAAGGATGATCAATGGAAACAGGATGCACCTGAGCTCAATTTCGAGTCTAACTTCAAAGGGTCTGAATACTTATGTAAATAAGCTATTTCTGTTTATTTTTAATACATTAGCAAAAAGTTCTAAACCTGTTTTAGCTTTGTCATTATGGGGTACTGTGTGTAGATTGAGGATTTGTTAAAAAAAAAAAAAAAAAACCTTTTTTGAATAAGTCTGTAACGTAACAAAAGGGAAGGGGTCTGAATACTTTCTGAATGCTCTGTATCAGAAATGGTGTAAGAAATATTGTCATATAATTATTACAGTTTATACCGGTTTAAACCAATTTTCTGTATAATAGTCCTTATTGTAACAGACCATAAATGCCTCCTGACAGACATTTGTGGGCAAACAATTCTAGTATGTGGGTTATTAGGCTGCTCATTCCTTGTTAATCACATCCGCCGAGTAAATCAACAGAATGGAACGGGCGGTGATAACTTGTTGCATGATTTCTTTCCCACACTGAGCCGTGGCTCAATGTGCCTGGCAGATGCAATGCATCATAACCATTTTGAAAATATTGATTGAGTGACGTAAACGTTGATGAAGTATAATACCAAACTGGTGGAGTAGAGTTTGAGGGTGTGCTAGTTCATTTATTTTGCTTCTTTCTCAGACTTTTCAGTTTTGTCAAGAGTACCACATTTCGGTTTAATACATTCAGTTGTGCAACTGACTAGGTATCCCCTTATAGGACGTGTGTTATTTCCCCTGTATTCCTGGTATAGAGTTACAGTATACCACGTGGCTGGTGGCTACTGTATGCCTCTGCTGTTACACAGCGGGCCAATGTTGTGAAATCAAAGGAAATTCTGTTACCATCAGGTTGGTTCACCATTACACCAGTGAGTCAACCATTACTGGAATCAAGGAGGGGGTGGCGAGAAACCTTACCAGACCATTCTCTCTCTCTCATACTCTGCCTTTGGCTTCTCTGGTGGCGTTGATGTTGCTTACACACACACACTCCCCCCCCCTCTCTCTTTGATGTGATTTTTTTTTGATGGCCCGTGACCACTCAACAGAGCAAATCTGGTCCTCCCCATTCCCCACCCTAAATCTTTCCCAACTGTACATTGTTCTAGAAGGGGTGACTCACTGTCTGTTTTCGTCTCTGGTTTCCAGAATTGCATCAGTTATCATGATGACGTCCAAATACTGATTCCCATCTGAATGTTTTTATTGGCGACGTGAGACAGGCAGGGTGATTGATGGTAGAATGAGTTAATGGGATTAGAGGTAGAATCACTTTGCATACACTATTGAGAGACTGTTTTTGGAGAAGCCTACACCTCAATTTATTGGAGACTTTTATTGGAGCACTGCCTTCATCCTATCCCCTAAGCAGGGTAAATATAAAGCATTTAGCTGTAATCGTGTATTTTTGAATATGTGCATTGTAACTTGAACCACATCAAATTCAACAAATGAAGAGTCATAAGCTACTCTTTTGTAATAACTGTAATTAATATATTCTCTGGTTTGAAGATACTATTACACAACAGTAGCCTGTGAATATAATCTTAAGACCTACAGTAGGCCTACACATTCCATTGGGATGTTGAATGTCAGCTAACTTTAGCTCTGTGTGGAGGAGGTTTAACCAGCAACCAGCTCTCCCTCTCTGTAAAGGTCAAGGCAAACCTTGTGGCTCAGTTGGTAGAGCATGGCGCTTGCAACGCCAGGGTTGTGGAAATGATTCCCACGGGGGACCAGTACGATGCAATATCAGGAGCAATTTCAACCTAGAACGTTTAAGGGGAGGTGGGGAGGGGGTCGATTCTGGTCTGAGACGGGTGTTCATTCAAGTGCTGATGAAGATCAATTATGTAATTGATTAGCTACCAAGAATGCCCTCCCCACACACTTAATCAATCCATCAACATTCATGGCAGAATGGATGAGCTGTCATCCACACATGCATCTGGATGGATATGACAATGTCAATAAAGGCAACTTTATAGAGCTTCGAAACGTGAAATAAAATCGCAAACTGAGCGCAGATTTTTTCTGTCATGTGATGTGTTGAAAGCAGATGGTCAATTTCTCAATCATCATGCCCCTCCAGGTTTGGCATTTGACTGTAAAAGAGATTAAGGTTATTTAACATTTTTTAAAGTATTGGTAAAGGGCTCGTGAGATTCATTAGTTCAATCAGGATTGTAGTTCTACAGCTAAACCTTGAAGTTCATAAACATGCGCTCTTCTAAGATCTTTTGAAATGGAAAAATGGTTACCAATGACAACCAGAGTACATTTCCCAGAACGTAACACACCATGATTTCTAAGGCAGAATCAGTACTCTCTTCCTACAGTAACTAAACCCAAACTCTACTCCTGTTTCTTCTTTTTCAGCTCTACCTCTCTCTCTCTCTCTCTCTCTCTCTCTGTCCGTTCTCAATAGATCTTCTGAGTCTACAGACAGTGTTACTGCCGAACATGTTACCCAAGACTCGTCTGGGGAAGCGTTCCCCACTAGGGGCGTTGGTGTGTACCTCATGCCCCTCCATGGAGAGCACACTGGAGACAGGGGGTCACGTGGAACCTGAGGGGGGGGTGGGGAGCCCAACCATGGGATCACCAGGGCCCCAGCATCTCAGCAGGTTCAACAACAAACTACTTCCTGGACAGAAGGTGAGGGAGACTGGAGGGGAGGGGTGGGAAAGTGATGTAGGGAGGGGGGACAACGATGGGGAAGAGAGGAGAGTTGGAGGGCGAATGAGAGAATGTGCTAGGAAGCCAAACGCATACAACACATACTTAAAGCATAAGAAACTCTTTATTCTAGTATTTTTTTACCCTCAAAGGATATGACTGGGAATCATTGTGGGCTTTCAGGATTACATGACCAGCTACACACCTTTTTTAAATGTAGCATTTTTATGTCATGCTTGAGAGAACACAGACAATCTGTCTGTCGCTCTCTAATTCCAATTCCAATTCTGATTGTTTGAATGAATTCCCTCTATCTGTCCTCGAGGTATCTCTCTCTCTCTTACTTTTATATCGGTCTCTCTCTTACTAGGCCTTTCCCTCTACTCTCCCCCTAGCTTAACACTAACCCTGACTTGTTCTTTTTGACTTGTTGTTGTACATCTCTCTCTCACTCTGTCGTTGTACAGCACACTCTCTCTGTCGCTCTCTCTGTCGTTGTACAGCACACTCTCGCTCTCTCTCTCTCTGTCGTTGTACAGCTCTCTCTCTCTCTGTCGTTGTACAGCTCTCTCTCTCTGTCGCTCTCTCTGTCGTTGTACCACACACTCTCTCTGTCGCTCTCTCAGTCTCTTTCTCGCTCTCTCTCAACTCGAAGGGGTTTTATTGGCATGGGAAACAAATGTTTACATTGCCAAAGCAAGTAAAATAAACTAAAGTGAGATTTTTGTTTTACAACATCAACAAAAAACTATTAGAAATTAACAGTAAACATTGAACTCAAAGGTTTCAAAGATAAAGACATTTGAAGTGTTATATTATCAGCTATGTACAGTGTTTTAGCAATGTGCAAATATATGTAGTACGAATAGTGGGAGAAGATAAACATAAGTATTGGTGATATTTACAATGTTTGTGCTCCTCTGGTTGCCGTTTTCTCATGGCAATGGGCCACAAATCTTGCTGCTGTGATTGCACATTGTGGTATTTCACCTAACAAATATGGGAGTTTATCAATGTTGGATTTTGTTATAGTGTGGACACTACAAATAATTCCTACTGAATATGTGGTGTACTTAACTGCAGTATAGTATTATTACTATTCATCGGAGCATTGTTATTATGGACGTTAATGTTGAATGTGACCTTTACCCAGAGTCGGTACATTATTAACGTGACACTACCTCATGTTGAGTTGGGTATATCGCTCTCCTGCTTTCTACCGTTTGTAAATGGCTGTACACCTTTATTTTCTAGTTTGCAATGAACATTAAAACGCTTGTGGATATTCCTTGTCAAGTTACCACATATTTGTTTTCAAATTATTTGTGGGTCTGTGTGATCTGAGGGAAATATGTGTCTGTGGTCATACAGGTCAGGAAGTGCAGCTCAGTTTCCACCAATTTTGTGGACAGTGGGCACATCCTGTCTTCTCTATGGAAGCCTCTCTCAATAGCAAGGCTATGCTCACTGAGTCTGTACATATTCAAGGATGTTCATAATTTTGGGTCAGTCACAGTGGTCAGGTATTCTGCCACTGTGTACTCTCTGTTTAGGACTCTCTCCGCCTCGCTCCCTCCATCCTTGTACTTCCCTCCTTTTTCCTCCCTCCTCAATTACACTTCTGTCGCTCCCTCCCTCCCTCTCTCTCTCTTTAGGTGTATGTGTTGTGTGGAGGGCGTGAGTGCACAGGGGTAGTGGAGCAACACAACCATGTGGATAATGAGGTGGCCATCCTACTGCCTGCTCTGGGACAGCATGTCCTGAGGAAACTAGAGGATGTATGGACCTGCCCCACAGTCCCTCCTCCACCTTCTACTATGACGCAGGGCACAGGCAGACCACACCAAGTGTCCTCCTGCATCGATGTGCCCAGGAGGTAAGTGTAATGTTGTGTGTGGGGGGGGGCAGGATTTGTGTTAATGGGAGCAGGGTATGCATGCCCCTGTCAGTGTGTGTGTCTGTCTCTGTGTGTCTGTACCTTATCTCTCTCTCAATGTACCTTATCTTTCTCCCTGCTACAGGAGTCCAGAGTCGGTGGAAATGGATGAGATGATGGCAGCCCTGGTTCTGACCAGCCTGTCCTGCAGCCCTCTGGTTCAGAGCCCAACTCAGAGAGACACAGTCACAGGTAATTCAATGACAGAATAATTGATTGAGTGATAAGCTCTTGGTTATATTTTTCCTGTCCAGTTTTTTGTCAACCATTGCAGCTCTAGTAAGGTGTGTGTGTGTATGCCTGAGTTGGTAGAGCATAATGCTTGCAAACCAGGGTTGTAGGTTCGATTCCCACGGGGGACCAGTACGAAAACGTATGCACTATAAGTGACCTCTGGATAAATGACGTGTGTGTGTGTGTACAGCAGGTTCTGCTGGTATGGAGTGTGGAGGCGGGGAACTCTCAGACAGCAGCAGTAGTGGCTACTGGAGCTGTGACCATGGCTACGGAAGCCCGGCCCCCTCTCCACCAATCACAGAAACAGAGGGTCACAGCCTGGCCATGCCCCCTGATGAGGGATTGGACATGGAGCAGGTGCTGTTTGACGAGCCAACACCACGGAAACGCAGGGTGAGTAGGGTAGTCACGGAGACAGCCTTGCTAAAATTGACCAATGTGGCAATATGTGAAAGAATTTACTGGCAAGCACATCAGCTACTTGTTCTTAATTTAAAGTTGAGTCAGTTCCATCTACCTTGCTTACCTGTGAACTTGTTTCCTCTCAGAACTCAGTGAAGGTGGCCTACAGGTGTCTGTGGCCCAACTGTGGGAAGATTCTGAAGTCTGTCGTCGGGATTAAACGTCACATCCGTACCCTGCACCTGGGGTAAGTGTCTAGGGATGCGACTGATCTTTGGTGCAAACATGGAGGCGGTTGAAATTATAAGGTCTTAACTTTTATTATCAGATGACGTGACAGTGCTTCTACTAGCAGTAATAGTGGCACAAGAAAACAACTGTTACATTAATCTATGCACTGTATATCCACGTGTTTTCCCTCAGCCAAAGCGGTGAGCATGAGCGTTGCTCCTGCAGTGAGGAGGACTTCTACTACACAGAGATCCATCAGCGGGAGCCGCAGCCTCTCACCCCAGCTCTAGGGGTCTCCACCCCCACCCCCATCCCTACCCCCAGCACCCCCTGGCCGGCCTGCACATCCCCATCCAGCCCCTCTCCCGCTGGCGTAGGACCAGGGGCTGGAGCTGGAGGAGTCTCCCCCACAGAAGTGAGCCCCCAGCTCAGCCAGTCTGCCCCCTCCACCCCGTGCTTCTTCTGGCAGGTCCACTCTGAGCACTCCTACCAGGTAGGCACTAGGACAACTGCCCTCCCTGCTATTCATGTCTACGTTATCTCTGTTCTGCACTCTGGACATGAAAAGTGGGAAAACACATGTTTCTTGAGTTAAATACATAACAAGCATGCTATGAGCACCTATTGCAAACTCTATATATTTTTGAATGTGGTTATATAGCCTATTGTTTCATATTTTGCATTCATTGATCCTACCTGATCGCAACCATTGATCACTTTATTTACCTCTGCAGGCTCCTGCTCCAGTCCAGGTGGTGGCGCCACCCGTCTCTGTCTCCACCTCCTACCGTTGGACCACACCCACCTCAACCTCCCATCCAAGACAGGTATGCTTGCCTGATGCACTGGGTGGGTAGAGTTTGCACTTTGGGACCAAAGGACTTCCCGGCTGAGCTAAAACAAATGTGCATGGAGAGAAATGTGTTGGTAAAGGAGCTGGACTACAGCAATAAAATGACAATCAACGCAACCCTAACTGTAGAATCCAATAGGAGAATCTCAAGGGAAATTTCCTGTAGATAATTGATTTATAAACACTCAGTAAAGAATATACAGCACAACTGCTGTTCATGTTTCATGCTGTATGTCCAGGTATATGCTATTTTCACTGGTAGAATTCTACATTTTTGCCCTTTAAACACAGAATCTCCAAGCATTTTGAATTCATCACATGCTTGCTTTTAAGTGTGCAATTTGCAGAAACATTTCCCCTACAGAGCCTTTGCCGGTATGTGTTTGGGGAGTAGAAGTCAGTCCATCAGGGAAAAAGAGCACTTAGATTTAGTACCCTGTCTCCAGAGCAGCTCTACACTGCCAATAGTGTCATGGATATTTACCAGCTAATCCCCTTGTTGATTTGATCATATTTTCTTTCCATCGCTGAACTTGCCTGCCTTTGTCTTCACTGATGCTACAACACTGCCACCTATTGATCTGTAGTAGGAACTGCTGGTCATTTTTATGTAACAACACATGGACACTGGCATGATCAAGCCACTGCAGTAGTCTGCAGCAGTGCACACAAAGAAATCAAAGCTGATGCCCTTTCAGGAGTTAATATGGATCGTTCAGTTTACTGTAATCTAAATACGCATTGCATGAATGCTAAAATAGTGGATGAAGATTTTCCTTGCTAATTAATCAGTGTTGTTTTGCTGGACTTTGCAGCATTGTGAGATGGCAACATCAAATGCAATATGTTCTCATTTATTTTATTAGTTTATTTGTCATAGACCATGCACAACAAATGCATTGAACCAGATTGATCTACACAGCTCAGTTCCCATCTGCAGTAAATATGTGTAGTATGGTATTATTGAAATTAATTTGTATTTACTAATTATAAATCTATGTTCAATTCAGTTGAGGGTTATTTGTATAAAAGTAGACAGATTAGTTAGTCACTAACCACTTACCAAAAAACTGAGTTTACACTTATTTATAGTGGCTGTCCTTGTCTCCTCCCCTCATCTGCAGATCCTTTCCCATCAGTGCAGGTAAAGGAGAGGAGACATGGAGAAGAAGCCTTTTGAAAGGATTGGATTTGGCATTCTGCTTTTCATCACCCATAACAAAGGCAGTCATAATGTGTATGTTCTGTTGTTTTTCTATGTACTGCAGCTCACCTGTGTTTCCCCCTCCGTCCACCAGGGTGAGTCGTTCCGTGTGAGGTCAGTCAGTGTGGGAGAACAGTGGCTGCAGCAGCACAGTCCCCCCATCAGGCCACACCCTGTCAGCACCTCTCCCCCACGCAGCCACTGGTCCACAAGGTGAGATACTATACTATATTTTAGTATACTATTACTAATGTATCACTATTGCTAACATTTTAATGCACATCGTCCTTCATATCTGCCTCAGTCAGTCTGAGTCTAGTCATTTCCCTTCTTGTCGCTCTCTGATTTTCTGTATCATCCTCACTCTTATCTATGCATCTCTTTACTTGTCTCTCTCTTCATTTCCATTCATTACATTTACTGTAAATGAACTCAATTGACTTTCTCCCTCCCTCTCTCTACAGGAGGATCCGTGGCGAGGCGAAGAAGTGCCGTAAGGTGTACGGCATCGAGCACCGGGACCAGTGGTGCACCGCCTGTCGCTGGAAGAAAGCCTGCCAGCGCTTCCTCGACTGAACCCCTCACAGAAGAGGGGGATGAAGAGCGAGAAAGAAAGATGGAGCAGTCACCTCTTCAAGTGAAGACTGACAAAAGATCTGGGGGTCAACCAGTGGAGCACCATGTACGTTGGTGTTTATTTATTTCTTTTTAAAAACCTTTTTGTACTTTTTATGACTTTACTAACTTTTGTTCATGTCTTTGACAACTTTGGGTTCTTGTGCATTGGTGCTCACAGTGAACTCTGCGGGGGGGCAGCTAAAGGACCTATGACTGGTAACCTATGACCTTTACCAGCAGCATAGTCCTGCATCTCAGTTCCTCTGTCTTCCTGCCCAGGGAGGGGCTATAAAGGAAGTGGACCGTGATCCTCTTCCCTTCCAAATCTTTGGCTATAACCTATAAACAGCAGCTCTTCTATACCCAGCAGCTATATAGGGGATGTCTATAGATCTATGACATCATGCCATCCATAACTTGGCTTGGAAAGAAGGCTTGCAGCCTGTTGCCAATTGTGGGCCTGAGCCAGGCAGGTGCTGAGCAGAATATCTGATCTGTAAATTAACCCAACTTCCAAACGCCTGGGCAAGAACAGATCCATATGATACAAAGGTTAACCAATCCATCAGGCTTTGGCTTACTGTCTGTGTGTGTAGTGGAGAATGATGACAAGGATAAGAATGTAAAGTGATACTAGGAGGGCGCTCGCCCTACGTGACCGAGGTGAAGCTTCACTAAATACTTACTAACAAACATGCTAATTACAGGATTTATGTCAGAGAGGAGAGTTGCTAGCCATCAACTTGCTCATTTATTTGTTAATAAGTATTGAGTTTCATTTATACCAGCTCTTGTCAATTGCATATAGTGCACGGATTGGCTGGGAGAATCCACATTTGCTCATGATCTACCAATCATCGGTAACCAGGAAGTTGTGTCCTAAACATTGAGAATGGATTGGAGAGTTGTGATTGGAGGAGAAGTAAAATGCAGATTTGGGAGTCATTAGCCCAACCTGTCTGATGTTTATAAGCCATTTATTCCTGCAAACTTGTATGTAGCTTTTTTATGTATTTTGATTTAAGGGAACAAAAAAATATTATTTGGCGATGTCAACTATTTTAATTTGTATTGTGTGTTTCGTTATATTATGCAGCAATGTTGTCTATATTTTGCAACTTGTCGTTTTTCTAAGGTGTGTTAAATACAATGTTCCGCCAAGAATGACCATGTTGTGGGATATAGGAATCAATTTACATACTTTAGACCAATCAGATGTCATACACATTGATTTTCACTTCTCTGAGCATGACGCAACCAACTGTTAAAGACCCAGTATCTCATCCTTGTTGTTAACAGCTACAGTAGCTATCCTTTCAGTTATGCCTTAAAGTCTTCTTACACCAGAAATTGTCTATAATATAGCCTCTTAACGGGCTTTGGTTACTCTAACGGATATCATTTCAGAGCACTGTAGTCTATAATTAAAGAGACTCTGACAGAATAGGACATGAAAATATTGGGTGCCTGTAAAACATAGTCATTGGCAGCTTTGGTCTCTTATATACTCACATCGTTGTAATAAAATGAGCCATTTGTATAAATACATTTTGTCAGGAATCTATCTCCATACATTTGCCATATACTTGGATATCCAACCCTCCAGTACCAGCCTCAGTTCTGCTGAGACACTAACTGAATGATGTTATCGAGGTTTGATGTGGAATGTGCCACGTGGTGCCAATAATAAGAACTTTAATTATGGTGCCAGGATTGAGTCTGAAAACATTTACATGGCTAAGGGCTTATCTAGAATGATACGCTGCTCAAGGGCATTGTGGCCCTAATCCAAACCCTTGTCACCCTGACACCTATTGTAAATTAACATGCATACATCGTTCAGCATAAAATAAATGAATGATTGTTTATTGAAACTCATGTTTCCTTGCAGTAAGCCAATGAATCCACAGAAGCAAAAAGCACTTATGTATAAATATATATTGTGTTATGTACAGGTAACTGCCAAAATAATGGAAACACTTGAGAAAATGAGGGATACAAAGTATATTGAAATCAGGTGCTTCCACACAGGTCTGGTTCCTGAGTTAAACAATTAACATCCCCGCATACTTAGGGTCATGTGTAAAGTTGCCCATTATTTTGGCTACCAGGGCTAGAAGAAGAGATCTCAGTCACTTTGAAAGAGGGATCTTAAAGGTGCATAGGGGGTTTAAAGGGTGTGTGTGTGTGTGTGTGTGTGTCTGTCACCAGATCTCAACCCAATTGAACACTTATGGGAGATTCTGGAGCGTTGCCTGAGACTGCGCTTTCCACCACCATCAACAAAACACAAAATGATGGAATGGTGCCGCATCTCTCCAATAGAGTTCCAGAGACATGTAGAATCTATGTCAAGGCGCATTGAAGCTGTTCTGGCGGCTCGTGGTGGCCAACACCCTATTTAAGACACTTTATGTTGGTGTTTTCTTTATTTTGGCAGTTACCTGTATGTACTGTACCTGGAGAGAGAAATTACCATTGAATAAAGTATTTCTTTTTATAATGATGCACTATTTTTCTATGGAATCTGAAATGTTTTGGTCTTTTTGGTGTTAAAATATGCTTGATAAAGATTAACCCTGTCTCTAGTAGTCTTCTATTTTTTTTATTCTCCTTTTTAAAATCTTGTCCTGGGCCTTGTAAGTTAGATGTATAGTTATACATCGTTCCATGTTGAGTTGTGAGCCTGCATCTATACAGAGATTGTATTTGTTCAAGAGAGGACTTTTATTATTGTTATTATACAAGACAATATTGGTGTGGACATTTTTTGTTTAATAAATGGAGCATTGTGGGATTCATGCAAGATGATGTCATCGTCTTGTGAACTTTCTAGAACGTTGCAACAAAACACCTCAAGACACAGAATCATTTGCTGCATTACAAGCCACGAAACAAATAGTTTACTATCTTTATTGATATGTTACATTTCTGCTATTTACAGGTTTTATACTGCACAGCGAAATGGATTCACGTAATAACTCAAAGAGACCACTGTTCATACAGTAGGGGCTCTATTCAATCAGATCTGCTTTAGCCGACGTCTGCATAGTGTTTGTTTTGGTGGTGTTGGAAGTGGAACTGCATTAGAGCAGTCAAATCCACAAGCGGCTCCTGGCATTATACCTAAAGCAGACATTGCCATTGGCTGTACGAGTTGCATTAAGAGAAACCCCATGCAGCCTTGTTTACAAGTTCTAGCAGTGGAATGTGAGATGTAATCTACACCTCTATTAGGATGATAGAAATCCTCATATCGTTTAATGATTTTTGAATTTGAGCGTAATTATTTATATATAGCCTACACCAGGTATCATCAACTTGATTTAGCCTCGGCCCGACATTTGTACATGATCACATATATCTCTGTGTGGGAATACTTTGGAACAGAGTTCCTCAATTTAAAATCACTTGGAGCTGATTTGCTGGTGTTTTTTGTCTTTTATGTTCACATTTTTATTTTTTTGTCGGGCCGCCAGTTGGGGAACCCTGGCCTACACTTTCTCCTTCTGAACTTCTAACACTAGTGGGGCGGGTGTGGCTTGGTGACAATGATCGCAAGAGCAGCTGCTCACCGATTTGACTGCTGGAGAACACAGTTCCATCTCCAACACCGTCAAAACATCCGCTATGCGGCTGTCTGCTATCGCCAGTTAACACTTGATCTGATTGAATAGGCCTAGGCTACATCTGTGTCTGCTTCAAAAAACACACGCCAAGGTTAATTCTCAAGTCAGAACATTAGTTTTGCCAACAGATCATTGATACATGAGCATGGATAGCTTCTTGTAGTCTTATACAGTAGTAACAGTTAATTGTGATGTTTTGCTCCAAATTATAGTAGACACTGTCAGGGTTGAGATTGAAGTTTGGAGAATAGTTCTGAAGATGTGAATAGTTACAAGCCATCCACAAACCTAATACTGAGATTGTGTTATATAAAATAGTCATGAACATATCCTAGTGCATTTTCAATTGGATATCTGAAAGTAATTTTGGGGTTAGCCACTAGAGGGGAGCATAATAAAGAGTGGCATGCCCGGGTCTCCCTCTCATGTACTGTACTGGTTCAGGAAATCCATGGAAACTTCACTAGTAAGTTATTTAAATTCATGAAGTTTCCACTGAATTAATCTATGTAATAATAATAGCCATGATTGATGAAGGCGAACATGGTTTCAAAAGTTACATTACAGATACAGTATAGAAAATCAAAACAAATACAGTGTGTTGGTGTGTCTAAATTAATCCAATGTGATTATCTGATAAACCATTTAGCTATATACATGGTATTTTTTTACTATTTTCTTAGCTTTTATTCATAATACGTTGTTCTCGTTATCAATGAGGTAATGCAGTACACAAGATTGAATCTATAATGCTCCAGTGTGGATTTTCATGAGGGGTTGTGTTCGGAACAGAAGTTTAATCATCACCTTGGTGACGGATTTGAATATGTAGGGCGGGGTCTGGGGTTGCTAGGTTATGACAGGTGCGTCGTTGCCAGGGATACAGTTGCCGTGTGTGTGGCTACACCTTGTTCTGTTGGGTGATGTCAGCGGAGACGCTGTTGTAGGATTTGCTAGCTCGGGTGCTCATGCCCAGGTACTGCTTCAGGAACTCACTGAACCGTTTCTGGTTGTTCCACTTGCGGGCAGATTTCCGGACGCCTATGAACCCGCCATAGCGCTTCTGCAAGGGCCTCCCGGGGCCCATCAACTTCCTGTAGCCATGCCTTCCCTTCAGGAACCCCCCGAAGCGCTTTGACAGACTTATCCCCGCCGCTCCGTCCTGCTCTCTCTCCATCGCGTTCTCCCTCTCTTCCTCATCCCCAACTTCCTCATCCCTTTCCTGCATTTCCTGGGGCAGCTGGGAGTTGTAGGCATCAGCGGTTAGCCAGCTGTCACTGCCCAGCTCGTCTATGCCCAGAGCACGGACCACGTGGTCAAACCTCTGCAAGGCTACTGGGTACATCAGCCCCCCATCCCCCTGCTGCTCTTCTTCCTCTGGCAGCATGGCCTCCACCTCCTCCTGGGCCCGCTTCAGCATGGCAGCGCCCCCTATGGACATGGAGGGTAACTGTGGGGACGCTGAGGCCTTGCGGCACAGGTCCCAAGTGAAGGCAGGGGAGACGTTACCCTCACACTCCACCAGACACACCTGAGAGGAGAGGGGGAGGGAAACACAGAGCACATGGCCGTTAGAGAGCAGCAATCCCACAGACTATCCACTCTGACTCTATGCCCATCCACACTGACTCTCTGCCCATCCACACTGACTCACTGCCCATCCACTCTGACTCTATGTCCATCCACTCTGACTCTATGTCCATCCATTATGACTCTCTGCCCATCCACTCTGACTCTATGCCCATCCACACTGACTCTCTGCCCATCCACACTGACTCTCTGCCCATCCACACTGACTCTATGCCCATCCACTCTGACTCTCTGCCCATCCACTCTGACTCTATGCCCATCCACTATGACTCTCTGCCCATCCACTCTGACTCTATGCCCATCCACTCTGGCAACTTCACTGTTACTCACTCAAACGCACACACATACTCACATAAACCTTCACTCACACACTTACACCAAAACATAGACACCCCTCATACCTACGCTGCTGCTATAATGATAATTGGTTTGATTTATTTCTACCATTACGCTGCTGTTCATTGATTATTGGGCATTTCACGCACAACAGTGTCTAGGGTTTACCGAGAATGGTGCGACAAACAAAAAACATCCAGTCAGCGGTAGTCCTGTGAGCGAAAACAGCTCGTTGATGAGAGTGGTTGAAGGAGAATGGCAAGAATCGTGCAAGCTAACAGAGGGCCACAAACAGACAAATAACGGTGCAGTACCACAGTGGTGTGCAGAACGGCATCTCGGAACACACAACTCCTCAAACCTTGTCACGGATGGGCAATTGCAGCAGACGACCACTCCTATCAGTTAAAAACAAGAAGAAGCGGCTCCAGTGGACATGTGATCACCAACACTGGACAATTGAGCAGTGGAAAAGCATTGCCTGGAACATGTCAGCAAGTTCAGTTTACTTGAGCGGCCTGCCCAGTCCCCAGACCTCAATCCAATAGATCATAAATGCGCTAGGTGCAAGATGATAGCTACGCAAGAGGAGGAAAATAAGGTGGAACTGATAAATGAACATAAAATATTTGTCTGTTACAAATGTATCATCATCAAGCAGTTTAGGGAAGAGATTCTCCGGCTGCTAGCTCAGCTGTGGGAAAAACAAGATGTGCTTTCTAAGTACTTTGATGCAGCCCAGGCACACATAATTTCAGTTCTGAATGCCTCCTACAGCCAAAGGGTCGATGAGTCAGGCGGTACTGACCTGCTCCAATCCACTGGACAGATGGTAAGCTCAACGCCGCGGCCAGTGGGAGACTGGACACTGGCAAGGCGAAGGAGGTCGGGTGGGAGGCAGTCTGGCCAGCCTCCATATATCCTAGAAGATCAGTTCCAGCTATTAAACAGCTTTGCCTCGCTGGAGGCGGACATACCGGCGCCGGGAGTCAACTCTGATCCTTGGAGTACACCAACAGCCAGCAGCCTTCCAGAGGCACCCTCCACAGCTCAGCCGGTCGCTGACCAGAGGAAACAAGGTCTTGGGCCCTCCTCCATCTCCCCGAGGATTCTGACGCCATCCGCTGCTACTGGTAGATGTGCGGTGAGTCAGGCTGGCATGAGTCGAAGCACACCTCCTCCCCCCTGCCCGAGGCAGGCCCGTTCTGTTCCCCCTCTTCCTTCCCTATCGGATTCCATCACGACCACCATCGTCGTGGGCAGCTCGATGGTGAGAGATTTTGGCCTGCTTGCGGCCTGTTGGCCGACCAAGCTCCACTGTCACCCAGGCGCCCGTGTCCAAGACATCAACTCCCTCCTGCCCACAGTTCTAGCCAACTACTCTAATATTGGCACCATTGTAACTCACGTTGGATTTAAAGACATTCGCTTTCGGCAATCTGAGGAACTGCAGAAGGACTACAACATTCTCTTGAACACCCTTGTTTGCACAGGGAAGAGAACAGTCATCTCTAGCCCCCTGCCGTGCTATAGAAGGGGTTCGGAACATTACAGCCACCTTGCTGCCCTAAACAAGTTCCTGAAGAATCTCTGCAAAGACAGGAATGTCTCCTTTTGTGACAATTTTGACTTGTTCTGGGAGCAACCAACACTCTTTAAAAGATGCGATTCACCCTAACCGCAGGGGTTCCAGGATTATCTCCAACATAGCGAACGGCTTAAGAGACTGACGGCCTGGGTTTGGTAGCGCTCCAGTCCTCCCTGTCTCCCCCTAATAAGCAACAGAGGACATGGAAATCATATAATATCCCAGAGAAATAGAAGTGCAGTCCATGTAAGTAACCAAATCTATGTTCCTTTAACTGTTAGCTCCGAGGGTATTGTCTGCAATAATCATATGCACATAGATTTGAATTCCACTGTTTGCACTGACATGTCTACCTCGGATCAGCCTCTCAGAATAGCACTAAAAACAAACAAGCAACCCAGAAAAGGACTAAAAATAGCCCATATTAACATATGGCCTGAGAAACAAGGTTCATGAAATTGACAACTTCTTAACATCAGAAAACATTCATATTCTGGCCATCTCTGAAACACACTCCAGATAATTCCTTTGATGATGTATTAGTACCTATACATGGTTAAATAATATATAGGAAAGATACAAATGCAAATAGAGGAGGGGTTGCCATGTATGTCCAGAGTAATATTCCTGTTAGGCTGAGAGAGGATCTCATGTCAGATGATGTGGAAGTAAAATGGCTACAGGTTCATCTGCCTCACCTAAAGCCTATTCTCGTAGGAAGTTGCTATAGACCACCAAGTGATAAAAGTCAGTATTTTGACTATGTGTGAAATGTTGGATAATGTATGTGATATCAACAGAGAGGTATATTTTCTGGTTGACCTAAATATTGACTGGTTGTCATCAAGCTGCACACTCAAAAACAAGCTCCAAGCTGTAACCAGTGCCTGCAATCTGGTTCAAGTCATCAGTCAACCTACTAGGGCATTTACAAACAGAACAGGAACTAAATCATCCACGTGTATTGATCACATCTTTACTAATGTTGCAGAAATCTGCTCTAAAGCTGTATCCACACCCATCAGATGTAGTGATCATAATATAATAGCCATATCTAGAAAAACCAAAGTTCCAAAGGCTGGACCTAAAATGGTGTATAAACGATCATACAAGAGGTTTGGATGTTGAAGATGTGAAAAATAATTGTTGTTCTGATGTGTGTAATGAGGAACATCCGGACGCTGCACTTTAATCATTTATGAAACTGCTTCTTCCAGTTACTGATAGGCATGCACCCATCAAGAAACTGACTGTTAGAACTCTGTGGATAGATGATGAATGGAAAAACTGTATGTTTGAGAGGGTTGAGGCAAAGGGAATAGTAAATAGGTTGAAGAGGTGAAACAATTGTTGCTATCTATAAATAAGGACAAACCACCTGGTTCTGACAAACTGGATGGTAAATTGCTGATTTTGGTAGCGGAATACATTGTGACTCCTGTTTGCCACATCTTCAATTTAAGCCAAGAAGACGGTGTGTGCCCTCAGACATGGGGAGTCAAAGGTCATTCTGCTACCAAAGAATAGCAGAGCACCCTTTAATGGTTTAATGGTTACAAGTGCTTAGCAAACCTTTGGGGAAAAAATGTGTTTTATCAAATACAAAGTTATTTTACAGAAAACAAATTAACAACAGACTTTCAGCATGCTTATAGGGAAGGGCACTCAACATGCTCGGCACTGACACAAATGACTGATGATTGGCTGAAATAAATTGATAGTTAGAAGATTGTGGAGCTGTTTTGTTAGACTTCGGTGCAGCTTTTGATGTCATTGATCATAACCTATTGCTGAAAAGACTTAGGTGTTATGGATTTGCATCCTCTGCCTTATTATGGATTGAGAGTTACTTATCTAATAGAACACAAAGGGTTTTCATTAATGTAAGCCTCTCTCATGCAAATTCAGTTGAGTGTGGTGTACTGCAGGGCAGCCGGCTAGGGCCATTATTGTTTTCTGTTTTTACTAATGACCTTGAATAAAGCCTGTGTGTCTATGTACGATGACGACGCAACAGTATACACATCGGATGCAACAGTAAAATAAATAACTGAGACACTTAACATAGAGCTCCAGTCAGTTTTAGAATGGGCAACTAGCAACAGGCTGGTGCTAAATATCTCAAAAACTAAAAGCATAATTTTTGGACAAATTACTCACTCAACGCTAAGCCTGGCTTAGATATATTATTGAAAAATGTGGTTATTGAGCAAGTTAAGGACACTAAACTGCTGGGTGTAACCCTAGATAGCAAGCTGTCATGGTCAAAAAATATAGACTCAATGGTTGCTAAAATGGGAAGAGGGCTGTCCATGATAGGGCGTTGCTCTAGTTTCCCATGTGCATCAAGAATAGTCCACCACCCAAAGGACATCCAGCCAACTTGGCACAACTGTGGGAAGCATTGAAGTCAACATGGGCCAGCATCCCCGTGGAACAGAACAAGATATTTCCATATGGCTCACAGTCCCAACAGAGCAAGAGATTACTATGTGATTTGTATATCTAGAATCCGTCAGAGGGTTTCTCTGAATGCATCACAGTCTCGTCTTGGAGTCTCTCAGTGGAGATGCCCCAAGTCTGAGCTGAACCTGATATCAACGCACACACACACACACATTATCCTCATCTCAAAATGCATTCAGTTCGACTTAAGTATGGTTCTGGTTCAAGGACAAACTGAAGAGAGAGGTGTACAGTATACCTTGCAGAGAGACGACTTCTCTAGAGAGAAAGAGACAAGTATACCCTGCATAGAGATGACTTCTCTAGAGAGAAAGAGACAAATAAACCCTGCAGAGAGACGACTTCTCTAGAGAGAAAGAGACAAATATACCCTGCAGAGAGATGACTTCTCTAGAGAGAAAGAGACAAGTATACCCTGCAGAGAGATGACTTCTCTAGAGAGAAAGAGACAAGTATACCCTGCAGAGAGATGACTTCTCTAGAGAGAAAGAGACAAGTATACCCTGCAGAGAGATGACTTCTCTAGAGAGAAAGAGACAAATATACCCTGCAGAGAGACGACTTCTCTAGAGAGAAAGAGACAAATATACCCTGCATAGAGACGACTTCTCTAGAGAGAAAGAGACAAGTATACCCTGCAGAGAGATGACTTCTCTAGAGAGAAATAGACAAGTATACCCTGCAGAGAGATGACTTCTCTAGAGAGAAAGAGACAAGTATACCCTGCAGAGAGACGACTTCTCTAGAGAGAAAGAGACAAGTATACCTTGCAGAGAGATGACTTCTCTAGAGAGAAAGAGACAAATATACCCTGCCCGATATGATTGGAAGCAAAGAGGGATTGATGGATCCTGGAATTATAGAATTGGATATCACATTAATTTTTTTGATAATACATTAATTGTTTTTCTTATCGAAGAAAGCTATTGTTTTACTTCAAGGACAAAATCGGAGATACTTAACTTTAACAGGAGAGTTGACTTACTGGATCATAGTGAGGGGAACATATTTACCCCACAGCACATACGAAAATACACTGAAGCCACTAGACAAAGAGAGGGGGGTCGGTGGTGTACTAAACCACAAGCATTGAGATGAAGAGACTGGAGAGAGGGCAGAACACTCACGTCTATCCTCAGGAATCAATTAGCCAATGCAAATTAAAATCCAGATGCCGGGAGGCTGGGAGGGCATAATACTATGAGTCAGAGATCATCGACAGTATAGGAGATGAAGGAGGGAGATAGAAAGGGGGGGGTAGTTTGAGGAAGGAAGGGTAGTTAGAGGAGGGAAGGGTAGTTTGAGGAAGGAAGGGTAGTTTGAGGAAGGAAGGGTAGTTTGAGGAGGGAAGGGTAGTTTGAGGAGGGAAGGGTAGTTTGAGGAAGGAAGGGTAGTTAGAGGAGGGAAGGGTAGTTTGAGGAGGGAAGGGTAGTTAGAGGAAGGAAGGGTAGTTAGAGGAGGGAAGGGTAGTTTGAGGAGGGAAGGGTAGTTTGAGGAGGGAAGGGTAGTTTGAGGAAGGAAGGGTAGTTAGAGGAGGGAAGGGTAGTTTGAGGAGGGAAGGGTAGTTAGAGGAAGGAAGGGTAGTTTGAGGAGGGAAGGGTAGTTTGAGGAGGGAAGGGTAGTTTGAGGAGGGAAGGGTAGTTAGAGGAGGGAAGGGTAGTTAGAGGAGGGAAGGGTAGTTTGAGGAGGGAAGGGTAGTTAGAGGAGGGAAGGGTAGTTTGAGGAAGGAAGAGTAGTTTGAGGAGGGAAGGGTAGTTGGGGAGAAGGACGGGGGGTGGGAGACGTGGAGGAGGAAGGAGAGGAGGAGGGGTACGCAGAGTAAGCGGTATGGTAGATGCGTCTGTGCGTGCATGCCTGTTTCTGTATGGGGGGTCCTGCTCACTCTCTCTTAGGCAACCTCTTTGTGACTTACTCGATCTCTGCCGGTGGCGGCGGCAGCGGGCCAACCAGCTGCTGTTTATTGTGTGTGGGTTTCATAAGTTAACTGGATTGCCACAGACATTTAAAGTCAAAACAACATCTCCTGAGTGAATTAGCTCTATTGCCCCACAGACAAACAACCTTTTAAGGACTGTGTGATTCAGTCAGGGCCCTGTTGACACAATAGAGTCAAGGAGGTCTCTTACTGTATTGACATTGATATCTGTGGGCAGGAACTGATTGTGGCAGAGATAGGAACAGGAATGGAGAATAAATACATTGAGGGACAGAAGGCTGTAGGATAGAGTGTGTATAGGCCAGAGCTGGCTGTTGGCTGGGGCAGAGACAGAGGCAGAGAGAGAGAGAGTTGACAACAGGAGGCTGTAGAGACCCTCACCAGTGTGTTGAAGTTGATCTCCTGCGGCAGGATGTGGCCACAGGCCAGGCAGTCCCCCTGGCATTCACTACAGTGTCCCGGGACACACAGACACAGCAGCAGCAGGGACCAGAGAGGGGTCTTCATGGTCCTCAGTATCCTAACTATGGAGATGATAGGGACAGCCTGGGACATGACAGGGGAGAGAGATCAGAGGTCAATTCACTGTCTTCTGTACAGTCATAATTTACAGTGAACAGCCAGACTGAAAGAGAGGAGGGGGGGGGAGAGCGAGAGAGCGAGAGAAGGGGAGAGAAAGTGAGAGAGAGAGACAGAGAAACAGCCAGACAGACAGGATCGCCCGACAAGTTAAGTGAAAAACACTTAAGCCTTTGTTTGTCTGGCTGTTTCTCTGTCTCTCCGCCCCACACGACAACAACGACATAAGAAAAGCAACACCTATTTGTACCTCATTAACCAGACTCATCATCGCCTTAATTGAAGTCTGAATTAGTGCTTTTTGCATGATGAGAGGGAGCACAATTGCCGATATGGAGAGATATAGAGAGAGGAATCTGAAGCTGTGTTGCACTTGAAACAGACAGAGAACAAGGAATAATGCACACACACACACACATTCACACACATCTTTATCTCAGTGAGGCACACACAAAGGCATTATGCCCAAAACTGCAATTAATAGGTGTGTATCTATTATGGAATTAAAATAATTAGAGCATAAACTTGTTTGGCAGGGACATTTTAATTGTACTGAAAGTTTTAATTAATTTGCAGTAATAATGGGGTAACGATGATTCACTTTTATCATTCATGTCCTGAGAGCAGCATACCTAAACTAATTTAAACTGGTTTATTATAGAAAAATGGCAGTTGGATAAGGATGAGTGTGATTGCAGAATAGCATGTGTGAATGAACCCAGATAAGGAAAGGGAAAAGTAGTTATCTTGACAGTAGTCTCTCCCCTGTGTTTTTAGCTTTTCAAGTACTTTATTGAGTCAATGGGAGATGCAGGCCCCAATGCAGCATCACAAACTTTCCCATTTATTTTTCATATAACCAAAGGTGTCTACTGTATTTACATTTTACATTTTAGTCATTTAGCAGACGCTCTTATCCAGAGCGACTTACAGTTAGTGAGTGCATACATTTTCATATTGTATGAGACATGGATATACACAGAGAGAGAACATTACATATCCAGGAAGCACAGGCCATTCACCTGCGACCCCAAGGGGAAATAGTGCTGAAAAGAATCAAAAAGTACACTGTGTTGTCCATTATTAATTACGTCATTCTGTTGAGTGCAGTACAAGACAGTGCCTGCATTTCATTAACAATCTATAGCAGGGTTCTCCAACCCTGTTCCTGGAGAGCTACCCTCCTTTAGGTTTTTGCTCCAACCCAGTTGTAACTAACCTGATTCAGTTTACCAACCAGCTAATTATTAAAATCAGGTGTGCTAGATTAGGGTTAGAGTGAAAACCTACAGGATGGTAGCTCTCCAGGAACAGGGTTGGAGAGCCCTGATCAGTATGAAAAATGTATGCACTCACTAACTGTAAGTCGCTCTGGATAAGAGCGTCTGCTAAATGACTAAAATTTAAATTTTTTAAATCTATAGTGTTTACTGGTTATTATTTCCCATTGCAGTGAACTGGACACTTCCACGCTCCTCTCTCTATTGTGGAATCAGCACTTTTACTACAAACAGTAGAAATACATGTCTTTCACATCTCTTCTTCTTTCTGTCACTGTATTGCCTAAAGGCCCTAATCTAACTCAGTCAAGAAACTAAAGCCCCTTCACCACTCCTCACCGAATCAAGATCCGCCTTGAGGGAGTTTTTATTTAATGCCGTCCCGTGGAACAGCTAAAGATAGTCTGGCGGTGGCGAGTGATCATAAAGTAGGGGAGTGAATGAAGAATACGATACGCAGGGATCTGGCAGGGCGGACAAAGGAGGATTTGGCGATGGTGTGCTCTTAAAACCACCTTATTGATTTTTAGCTTGGCCCGTGGCTCGTGGCTGGACATAGGAAGACAGGTTGAAGGGAAGGTAATAAGATTGAGGCTGAAGCATGATGTATATGGACTGTATGATAGACAAAGGACTGTACAGTATATGGACTGTATATGGCAGCGGTAATCATAACCCAGCCTGGAGGTCTGGAGTGCCCTGCTGGTTGTCTTTTTTACCTGGTAATTAATTAATTGATTGATGTCACTGGTTGGCCAGAAAGTCCACTCAACTGGTGTCCCAGGTCTGAATCAGTCACTGATTATCTGGCTCGAAGGACCACGTTGAATTAGTGAAGGCACTCGAAAAAGGAAAGAAAGGCTGAAAATCTCAAGTACTTCTAGCCTCAAGGTCTGGATGTGAGAAAAGGGGACATGTGATTGAAATGAGATATGAGATGCCCAAGGCTCAGAGTTAGCACTGCACTCTTTTATTTATTTATTTAACCTTTCTTTTGACAGGAAATCATGTTAAGACCAAGGTCTCTTTTCCAGGTGAGCCCTGTAATTATAAAATATACACATCAATACAATATGATAAGCAAAACAGAGATACAAAACATAGTCATAGAAAACAAACACAATCTACATAAAACATTTCCACAATCTGCTGTCTGAAATGCCCTAGAGGCACCAAATCATTCAATTTTAGGTTTTTGGAGATTTTCACTCTTCACTCGACAACAAGTGGTCTTACCTAGTCACTAAAACTGTTTATTACATGCTTGTTGTAGGGGTAGTTCATCCAGATACATTACTGATAAGAAATAGGGAGACTCCCTCTATGAGAGCTCATTACTAGACTAAAGCAGCTAGTACCAGTACCAGTGTAAATACCACTGGGTCTGAGCCACTGATAGGATTGACAAATGAGTCGTGTGCTGAAAGCACCATTAGGTTCTCAAACTTCATTGAGCACTTGTGTGTGTGTGTGTGTGTGTGTGTGTGGTATGGTGGGACCAGGGGTATTCCCCAGAGAAACACACATTTAGAATGACTGACGATGTCACTATCGATAGGAAGGCATCATCAGGAAGGAAAATGGAGTAGAAAGAGAATATTTAAGCAATAAGGCCCGAGGGGGTGTGGTATATGGCCAATATACAGTGAGGGAAAAAAGTATTTGATCCCTTGCTGATTTTGTACGTTTGCCCACTGGCAAAGAAATGATCAGTCTATAATTTTAATGGTAGGTTTATTTGAACAGTGAGAGACAGAATAACAACAAAACAATCCAGAAAAACGCATGTCAAAAATGTTATAAATTGATTTGCATTTTAATGAAGGAAATAAGTATTTGACCCCTCTGCAAAACATAACTTAGTACTTGGTGGCAAAACCCTTGTTGGCAATCACAGAGGTCAGACGTTTCTTGTAGTTGGCCACCAGGTTTGCACACATCTCAGGAGGGATTTTGTCCCACTCCTCTTTGCAGATCTTCTCCAAGTCATTAAGGTTTCGAGGCTGACGTTTGGCAACTCGAACCTTCAGCTCCCTCCACTGATTTTCTATGGGATTAAGGTCTGGAGACTGGCTAGGCCACTCCAGGACCTTAATGTGCTTCTTCTTGAGCCACCCCTTTGTTGACTTGGCCGTGTGTTTTGGGTTATTGTCATGCTGGAATACACATCCACAACCCATTTTCAATGCCCTGGCTGAGGGAAGGAGGTTCTCACCCAAGATTTGACGGTACATGGCCCCATCCATCGTCCCTTTGATGCAGTGAAATTGTCCTGTCCCCTTAGCAGAAAAACACCCCCAAAGCATAATGTTTCCACCTCCATGTTTGACGGTGGGGATGGTGTTCTTGGGGTCACAGGCAGCATTCCTCCTCCTCCAAACACGGCGAGTTGAATTGATGCCAAAGAGCTCCATTTTGGTCTCATCTGACCACAACACTTTCACCCAGTTCTCCTCTGAATCATTCAGATGTTCATTGGTAAACTTCAGACGGGCATTTATATGTGCTTTCTTCAGCAGGGGGACCTTGCGGGCGCTGCAGGATTTCAGTCCTTCACAGAGTAGTGTGTTACCAATTGTTTTCTTGGTGACTATGGTCCCAGCTGCCTTGAGATCATTGACAAGATCCTCCCGTGTAGTTCTGGGCTGATTCCTCACCGTTCTCATTATCATTGCAACTCCACGAGGTGAGATCTTGCATGGAGCCCCAGGCCGAGGGAGATTGACAGTTATTTTTTGTTTCTTCCATTTGCGAATAATCGCACCAACTGTTGTCAACTTCTCACCAAGCTGCTTGGCGATGGTCTTGTAGCACATTCCAGCCTTGTGTAGGTCTACAATCTTGTCCCTGACATCCTTGGAGAGCTCTTTGGTCTTGGCCATGGTGGAGAGTTTGGAATCTGATTGATTGATTTCTTCTGTGGACAGGTGTCTGATATACAGGTAACAAACTGAGATTAGGAGCACTCCCTTTAAGAGTGTGCTCCTAATCTCAGCTCGTTACCTGTATAAAAGACACCTGGGAGCCAGAAATCTTTCTGATTGAGAGGGGGTCAAATACTTATTTCCCTCATTAAAATGCAAATCAATTTATAACATTTTTGACATGCGTTTTCCTGGATTTTTTTGTTGTTATTCTGTCTCTCACTGTTCAAATAAAACTACCATTAAAATTATAGACTGATCATTTCTTTGTCAGTGGGCAAACGTACAAAATCAGCAGGGGATCAAATACTTTTTTCCCTCACTGTACCACAGCTAAGGGCTGTTCTTATGCATGACGCAACACGGAGTGCCTGGATACAGCCCTTAGCCTTGGTATATTGGCCCTATACCACACATCCTTGAGGAGCCTTATTGCAATTATAAACTGGTTACCAACATAATTTGAACAATAAACAAGTAATTTTGCGCCATACCCCTGATATATTGTCTGTTATAAACTGGGTGGTTCGAGCCCTGAATGCTGATTGGCTGACAGCCGTGGTATATCAGACCGTATACCACGGGTACGACAAAGCATTAGTTTTTACTGCTCTAATTACATTGGTAACCAGTTTATAATAACAATAAGGCACCTTAGGGGGTTTGTGGTATATGGCCAATATACCACGGCTAAGGGCTGTTTCCAGGTTGCGTTGTGCATAAGAACAGCCCTTTGTCATGGTATATTGACCATACACCACACCCCCTTGGGCCTTATTGCTTAAATATACCACAGTTTTCAGCCAATCAGCATCCAGGACCCAAACTACCCAGTTTCTAATAATGCATTATGACATCACAACAGGGTGTGGTTGTGGCCAAGCGAAAAATGCACTCCAAATGAATGTCATGGATAAGGAAAAATATTTAGAGGGATTTCAGGTATTGTAGCTAACTGTCAGAAAAGTCCTCTACAAACACAGGAAAACTATGAGAAAAGAAAAACAGGAAATACTTGCACTTTAGTCCAACTTATTGTGTTATCATTGCACTTATTAGCCTTGAAAGTAGAGAGAGGCCTAGACAGACAAAAAAATCAGCCATGTGTGAATAATCCAGATTTAACACTTTCCTTGAGATTAGTCATTTGTTTTACATTTCCTAGCCTTGATGAGGACACTGCAGTAATGAGAAAAGTGTTGCGAGAACAACAGAGAGATAGTGGACTGATGACGTCACCGGAACACTGACTAATCAGGAACCATAGAATCAGAATGGATTCTAATTCAAATTCTTTGTCCGGAACATTCTTCTGTGGAAAAGCATTTTGTGTCTGACATGGTGAACGTTCAAGACCAGAACAGACAGCATAATCACATAGCTAGAACTGAAATGGAATTAAAGTTGGAGTACTAGAGCCAGAGAGAGAGAGAGTGAAGGAGGGATTTGCGGTTTGCCAATGTTGGCGCATAGCAGCATACCATTCAACACCTTTGCGATAGAGACATTATTTTGGCAGTTTTTTTACTTAGACATCCAAATTCAGACAGCATATTGCCAGGCACAATACTGTGTTGTCTATTCTTTCCCCAGTGTCTGGAGAGTTTGTCCTGGCGCTCTCATTCCATCCTTCACATCTGCAGCCCCTCTCCAGGTCCCCCTCAGCAGGTCCTCTCCACAGCCCCCTCTCCAGGTCCCCCTCTCCAGGTCCCCCTCTCCACATCCCCCTCTCCAGGTCCCTCTCTCCAAATCCCCCTCTCCACATCCCCCTCTCCAGGTCCTCCTCTCCAGGTCCCCTTCTCCAGATAGCCCAGTTATAATTGTTTAATTAACTGGCTTATTGCTGAGGAAATCACTTAATTAAACACAGTAATTGGGTCAAGCCATAAGACTGCTAAATAGCCAGACTGCTAAATAGTCAATTAAAGGTACCTAAACTATCTGCACTGACTCTATCTTGCATTGACCCTACACACACTCACTAGACCATATATGCACACCATATACACACTCACTCACACACTACATTGACACTCCCACACAAAACCCACACACATTCACATACACTACATACCGACACAACACAAACATACAGTGGGGAGAACAAGTATTTGATACACTGCCGATTTTGCAGGTTTTCCTACTTACAAAGCATGTAGAGGTCTGTAATTTTTATCATAGGTACACTTCAACTGTGAGAGACGGAATCTAAAACAAAAATCCAGAAAATCACATTGTATGATTTTTAAGTAATTAATTTGCATTCTATTGCATGACATAAGTATTTGATCACCTACCAACCAGTAAGAATTCCGGCTCTCACAGACCTGTTAGTTTTTCTTTAAGAAGCCCTCCTGTTCTCCACTCATTACTTGTATTAACTGCACCTGTTTGAACTCGTTACCTGTATAAAAGACACCTGTCCACACACTCAATCAAACAGACTCCAACCTCTCCACAATGGCCAAGACCAGAGAGCTGTGTAAGGACATCAGGGATACAATTGTAGACCTGCACAAGGCTGGGATGGGCTACAGGACAATAGGCAAGTAGCTTGGTGAGAAGGCAACAACTGTTGGCGCAATTATTAGAAAATGGAAGAAGTTCAAGATGACAGTCAATCATCCTCGGTCTGGGGCTCCATGCAAGATCTCACCTCGTGGGGCATCAATGATCATGAGGAAGGTGAGGGATCAGCCCAGAACTACACGGCAGGACCTGGTCAATGACCTGAAGAGAGCTGGGACCACAGTCTCAAAGAAAACCATTAGTAACACACTACGCCGTCATGGATTAAAATCCTGCAGCACACGCAAGGTCCCCCTGCTCAAGCCAGCGCATGTCCAGGCCCGTATGAAGTTTGCCAATGACGATCTGGATGATCCAGAGGAGGAATAGAGCTTTTTGGTCTAAACTCCACTTTGGAGGAAGAAGAAGGATGAGTACAACCCCAAGAACACCATCCCAACCATGAAGCATGGAGGTGGAAACAGCATTCTTTGGGGATGCTTTTCTGCAAAGGGGACAAGACGACTGCACCGTATTGAGGGGAGGATGGATGGGGCCATGTACCGCGAGAACTTGGCCAACAACCTCCTTCCCTCAGTAGGAGCATTGAAGATGGGTCGTGGCTGGGTCTTCCAGCATGACAACGACCCGAAACACACAGCCAGGGCAACTAAGGAGTGGCTCCGTAAGAAGCATCTCAAGGTCCTGGAGTGGCCTAGCCAGTCTCCAGACCTGAACCCAATAGAAAATCTTTGGAGGGAGCTGAAAGTCCGTATTGCCCAGCGACAGCCCCGAAACCTGAAGGATCTGGAGAAGGTCTGTATGGAGGAGTGGCCCAAAATCCCTGCTACAGTGTGTGCAAACCTGGTCAAGACCTACAGGAAACATATGATCTCTGTAATTGCAAACAAAGGTTTCTGTACCAAATATTAAGTTCTGCTTTTCTGATGTATCAAATATTTATGTCATGCAATAAAATGCTAATTATTTACTTAAAAATCATACAATGTGATTTTCTGGATTTCGTCTCTCACAGTTGAAGTGTACCTATGATAACATTTACAGACCTCTACATGCTTTGTAAGTAGGAAAACCTGCAAAATCGGCAGTATATCAAATACTTGTTCTCCCCACTGTACATACATACACATTACACATTACACACGTGCACACTTTTACACATCATTTGCTGCTGCTACTCTGTTCTTTATTCTTATTATTATCTGTGCTGATGCCTAGTCACTTTACCCTGCCTTCATTACATATCTACCTCAAGTACCTCTGCACATTGATCTGATACTGGTAATAGCTGTATAGAGCTCCATTCTTTTGTATTTTATTTAATTCCTTGTGTTATTATTTTGTTTTTTAAACTCTATATTTTTTAAACTCTGCATTGTTGGGAAGGGCTTGTAAGCAAGCATTTAGCTGTAAAGTCTACACCAGTTGTATTCGGCGCATGTGAGCAACTGTTTCTTAATTTGATTTGATTAATCAAAGTCCTCTGGTGAATCTGACTGCTAGACCTGCTAATAATAGCCTAGGAATCCTCCACAGGGTCTGTGTCTCTCCTGACTGTCTGTACCCATTACAGCAGGGATGGGCAACACCAGTCCTTGGGGGCCGGAGTGGTGTCACACCTTTTCCGCATCCCTAGCAAACATAGCTGATTAAACTAATTGCATTCTAAACTGAAGATCAGGATTCTTGGAGTCAGGTGTGTTAGCTGAGGCTGGGTCAAAAGTGTGACACGAATCAGGCCCCTGAGGAGTGGAGTTGCCCACCCTTACACTACAGTCATCCCTATGAGCAAAAGATTTTGAAAATATGTATTTTGGGTTGAAAATACTTTGAAAATATGTATTTTCAACATCTTGTGCTCACTGGAATAGTAATAGGACCAGTATATTGTTTGATGGAGTAGATTAGTCTCTAATGATGTTGACGATTTAAAATAATAGTAGATTGTAAACACATTGCATCAACTTTACATCCACTCTGGTGACTGTGGTCTGTGTCTAAAACATTTCAACCTCATGACTTCAATGGTAAAAGAAAAAAAAGATAGTAGAATAGAATGGTACTGAATGGTACTGAATGGTACTGAATGGTACTAAGAGGAAATGAACAACCACAACCGAGAATGACAGTCACGACAATGTTCTTCAACACATTACAATACATAATTATCGGTGACCAAGGGGGCAAAAGTGACAAACAACAATATACCACACATTAGCCTCCGTAACAATACTATACACCCCTAACTCTATCAATAAAATACATCACTATCTTACTCCTCTTCTATCGGCATAAACAGTATATTATCTGTCCCTTAAATGTCTTCCACCCCGTAAACCCACGTCAATATTGGTCCCACAGCACCACAGATCAATATAGAGATGGATTGATATTAACTTAGAGATCCCCTCCAATGCTTTCACCATCCACGTAATCAATGGCTGGTTATAGCTAGCAAGGGATACATCTCGATCAGGAGTAACCCTAATAAATGTGTCAGATCAATGGAGAGAGAGGTAACTAAGGATCACGAGGCCCGCTCACACACGTACGAATGCACACACACACACACACACACACACACACACACACACACACACACACACACACACACACATACATACACACACACACGCGCACACACACACACGCGGGCACACATCAGTCATGAGACAGTGACTAGGCCCATTGATCAGATTGAAAACCATGTTGAGACAGTACACAGTCCAGGCACCCAGCTGGCTATGGGCAGTGTATTATAGTGGTTATTAGGGTGTATATTCGCCTACCATTGTTGATGGATCAAATGTGACATGTGATTATAACTTTGTCACCAAGCCACAGGCCAACACAGGGACAGCACACAGTGGTGAAAGCTTGTGGCAAATAATACCCATGTATTCATTACAACTGGCAAATACATTTTACATGTTTTACTTTGAGCTTCTTCACAATATGAAAACCAAATCAACTGTTTAACTAATCCACAAGCACAGGTATAGATATAATAGGTGGAATGGAAAACTCGAGGTGAGGTTTGGGAAACACTGATCTATCACAAACCTCACCACATCATTCACTCACACCCCATTCACACTGTTGCCAAACCACTCATCAATCAACATAATTCCACCATCATTCCACCACCATTGACACCATCATTGACACCATCATTCCACCATAATTGACACCATCATTCTACCATCATTCCACCATCATTCCACCATCATCCACCATCCAGGGGCGGTGTGTTCAATAGGGCGATATGGGCGACGCACTGCCAAACGGGAAAAGGAAGGGATTTTTTTCTAATCAATTATATCACGGCAACAGTAGTTATCAGTGTTGTAATCTAGACGTCTGATCTGCCACTAAATGTCCAATCAGGCTAAAGTCGTGCTTCAAATGGCCCCCCCCCCCCTTTTGGGGCGATTTCAGTCAGGTTGAAAATCGCCCAGAAGTCTCTCATAGACTCCCATGTAAAATCTATTTTTTTCAAATATCAGAGCTTTCAATACAATCTCTATGGGTTTCTGAGGGCTTGCACTTACGCGCTTTCGTCATACGTAACGTAACCATGAACGTAACTAAGAAAAGAGCGGGTAGCAGCGTCAATCAATTCACGTACTACTGGTAAGATTGCTATAGCGTTCAGTGCAACTCGATTGTCTCTTTGAAATAAGTTACTTTTTGTCGGCGAACAAATCAAGATAAATTGGCAACGAAACAATTAGGACCTCCCAGACCAAATTTAATAATTCAACAGGTTTCTACTAAAGGCGGAAAGTCCTACACCCGAGGATTTTCCAAAAATTAGTACGAACGAAAAACCTGGCTAGCAGGCTGCGATGTAGCTAATGCAGTCTTCTGCTACCCCCTGCTTACTCTTTCACCCTGAAGGCGGCACGGCAGACAGCACCGCTTGGACAGCGACTGGTGTGTAACGGACATGCACCATCTTTCAGGAAAGATTAAGAAACATGAGCTGTCAAAGACCCACATGGATAGCTGTTTGAGATTGTCTGCTTTGGGGAGTGAACATTGCCACTCAACTGGATGAGGGATACAGGCTAGCTGTCCGCCGCCACAACGATGAGGTTAGTGTTGATAATCACAAGTTTACTGGAGAACTGAGACCAAGTAGAGACTTTGGACAGGGTGGATATGGTATAATAAAGGCAGTTTATTCAGAGGTAAAGATATCTGGAATCGCGTGCACGGACCCGTTCGTTATCT